TTTTATTGTTTGCAAAATTCAATTATCAAGAGAGAGAGAGAGAGAGAGAGAGAGAGAGAGATGATATCGGTAAAATAATATTAAACACAGGATAATTTCAACAATTGATAAAATTTGAACAGAGCAGATTTTAGTAATAGAATTCAGAATACTTTTTTAATCCTTATATTAGACAAACTATTTATAATAAAATTAAACAAATCTATTAAAATAATTATAAGTAATTAATGATAAAAATGGTTACAATGTTGACATAAATACATTTACTTTAATTTTTATTGTATTAATTAATAATTGCGATATAATTTATTATTAAAAATTTAAAACTTAATTTTTAGTAATAAATATTGAAGTGGTGAGGTGGGCATAAATACTATCGAGTATACATGTGTATCAATGTATCACCATGAATGAATAGACATACTGTTCCATGGACCATGGTACTACTTTACATACCATAGAATATTGAGATGATGACGGATACACTTTGTTAAAATATATAATATTAATTTATACTGTACCATTAATGAAACGTATCTAACACAATTTGTTGACCCAATTATTTGAATGTTTAATTATTAAAACTAATTTTTCACAAAATTTGATTATTTGTATTGTGTTTCACTTCTTTTTCTTTTTGTCTATTTATTATTTCAAATTAAATGAATAACTTTTTTGTTGTCAATTAAATACAAGAATATTTCAGGTTTTATATAAATTAAAAATACCTCATTAATGAGTCATTATAAATGATATTAGTTTAATAATTTAGCAGACAATCAATTTGAAATCAATCGAATGTTTGAATTTCTTATTTTTATTGCTAATAAATAATGTTAATCTAAATTAAAATAAAGCAATGAAAAATGTTACGATGTTAATTTACTAAACATAAAGAATATTGTGGTTTTTGGTTATGTTGTAAACTGAGTATTATATATAAAAATAGATTTGATGAGTGAATTTAGTGAACAAATTCTTACCTCTTCAAAGGATCGTAACTATTTTTATTTACACATAATTTCCATTATATTATGATTTGGGAGTTTTGCCAAAAAGTTATTTCTAGTACTCTATGTATGTGTTGAGCAAAGCCTCGAAACGATTAATACAACAAAACCCCAAAATGAATGGCAATTGTATGTAAATTCGGTGTAAATTCATGAAACATATTTTATTGTATTTTTATGTTTATAATAATTTATATTTTACTTGATATTAAAGTGGACGGTATTTGATGGCATAGGTATTGACATTATAAACATTTAAATATTACTGATTCCATATTCGCATTCATATGTGACTTCATTATAATTTAATTTAAGAATCGATATATTAAACAATCAGAAAAATAGAGAAATAACAATATATAACATTAGTTTTGTATTGGTAAAAACAAATTCATTAAATTCTATAAAAACAACAAAGAGTCCGATAAATACTCGACCAATCATTGAAATGCTGGTTATATTAAAAACTCAATTAGTATTGTATAATAAAAGGAGTTCTTAAATCAATAACTTGAAGAATAGTAGAGCTAATGATATATTGATAACGAGGACTAACATAACCAACTGTTGTCTACTCAACCAATTCGTAAACTGAGGATTCATTAAATAGAGAAATGGATTTCGAGATAACTTTTCTTTCATCTCTAATTCGATTCGTTGCTGTTCTCGACGATTGTGTGATAAAACTGACACTTCTTCGCGAGACATAACAGGTTTGTTCACTTGTTTCACTACATTTGGTTGTAGGGATGGCTTACGTTTAAGTCCAGTGGACGTACCGACGCCGCCGACCCCTCCACCCCCACCTCCTCCTAAGGATTGGTTATGATTTTGAGCAGCAGTTGGTCTATAGAGAGATGCCGTTCGCCAATGTTTCGGTTGAGTGGACTCATCAAAAGTGTCTTCACTGCCAAATTGTGAGCCAATTGGTGAACGACTTAACACATTGGGTGTCGTGGAGACGGTATTGATGGAGGCGGTGGCGCCGGTTCGGCGGTTAAGGCATTCTTCAAGGCTTACACCCGAATCGGATGTTTTTTGGGACAATTGATTCATTGGACTATTCATTGAATTTCTATTAACACTAAAAGGCGTCGATTCTATCAATGAATTATTATAATTAGGAATTCTTTGGTTTATAGGGTTTTGATAATTGGATGATATATTAGATTGAAATGACTGATCCAATGGCTGTTGTCTTTGAATATTTGAATATTTTGAAACTAAAGTCCTGTATTGATCGAAATGATCACTAAATGTCTGTCCAAACGTATCATTGGATGGGTTTGTCTGGTAGTGGTGTTGATGTGGCAGTTGGACAGTAGGCATACGGTTGTAATTCTGTTGCTGCAAATGGTGTTGTATTTGGTTTTGCTGTAATTGTTGTTGAAGTCGATTGACATGTGGTTGATGTGGATGTACTGTCTGTGACTCTAATGCTGGCTCATTCTGGCTTCTGAATGATCCACGTCTTCCACCAAACGGCTCGTTGGGGTCCAAGAACTGTCTGTTCTGTGTCTGTTGAATGGCGTTCCTGTGGTCGAGTGGGCCCTCACGAGTGCTGCGTCTAATCTGCGAGAAGTCGGAGAGCCGTCGCCTCAGCGGCGCATCCAAGGAATGAGATTGACTTAAATCTGTTCCGCCGTATTGTTTGGCAGTAATGAATGCCATTTGGGAGTCATTTTGCGCAGAACTGGCCCCGAAGTCCGCCTGTTCTCCTTTGCCTCGAGCCGTCGCTGTCCTCGAAATAGCAATGTCTGCCTTTTGTAACGCTATTTGTTGAGCTCTATGTGAGGCCACAACTGCCGACTCTATCCGTTCTCTTACTTTTGACGACCGAATGACGAAGAGATGCTTTTTCCTTACATTTGTAACCAATTGATTGTTTTTATACTTCCCTTCTTCACGGGTTCCGTCGCGAAATATGGTCACTCCGTAGCCGTACTTCTTGTTGTTATACCACTCGCCCTCATATCTGAGACCATCTGATCGCTCACAGACTCCGAATCCACATCTCTTGTCGTTCTTCCACTCACCCATATATGTCTCGGTAGTGGTCGGGTCACTGATATCGCCATTTTGAGACAAAAAGCTTGCATTTGAACCGACGTCTTGATCCGCTTCTTTGAAAGAGGCGGCGCTTCCACTCTCTGACGCTTCTCTTGAGCTGATAAGTGATGGTGTATTCGATTTACTTGATTTCAAATCAATATCACCGGTCGATCGCTGTTTGCGAAGTCTTAAACCCTTAAATAGATTTGTTCTCAAATTGGATGACTTCTCAACCAAAGAATTTCTTCGTTTGTCACGAAAGCTATTTCTGGCCACTAATACAAAGCCTCCGCGAACTGTATCTCTCTTGTTATCGGCCTGACTCTCGCCCTCCGTGTCCAGTGACTGAAGCGATGCATTTGTAGCACTCGTCACAATCGCTTTTGTGATATTGCAGTGACCGTAAGGCGCCGACGATCGCACTCCATATCCGTGTCTCATTCCTCTCAACCATTGACCTATAATTTGTTGTTTTATTTTTAAAAATTAATTCATATTAATTGTTACTTCATCTCAAACTTATTGTTTGTTGCTTTATAACGAATGTATAGTAAATGCTTAGTAAATACCCTGATAAGTGCCCCCATCAGCATATGTTTCGGATCCATAACCATCTTGAAGACCATTAGCCCACGTGCCCTCATATCTGGCTGTGGATAAGAGACTGGCTCTCACACCATATCGTCCTTTAAAGCCTTGAGTCCACTCTCCTTTGTAGACCCATTTGCCTCTATATTCAACACCAATGCCGTGTCGTTTGCCGTTTTGCCACTGGCCCTCAAAGGTCGCACCGGATGGCCACTTGTATACACCACTCACTTCGAAGCCATAGTGCCACGACCCAGAATATTCTCCCTGTCCTTTCGGTCCGGTGCAGATGCCGTGTCCATGAGCTTTGCCGTCGTGCCATCCGCCACAATAAGTGCCGCCGTCGTCGAAATCAAATCGACCTCCATTTATAACGCCCGCATTGGCCACCAATGGCTGCATTTGAGGTGATTGTTGTGGCATTTGTTGCGTTAAATTAGACATTCTTCGTATATTTATTTATTCTTTTGTTTATATTTAAATTAAATATTTATTTAATAATCATTTGAACAGAAAATTGGTTCAATTTTTTTGGAAGAATCTGAAAAATTACATAAAAATAGCATTTATTAGAACACATAGTAATTGCAAGAATATAAATAAGACATACCCAAAGAATTAGTTTATAAGTTATTCAATATTATAGCATTACATTATCTAAAACTATAGCAATTATTTCTTAGTTTTTGATGTAATAAAATTGATTTACCAATTATTCGATAAAATACCAAGTTATAAATTATTTTACAAATATAAAAATAAATTCTTATAAACATATAAAGTATTGAAGAGATGAAATAATTTAGTGATAAATATGATTAGTTATTTATAAATAATTTAGTTTCATATTTAGTGTAGAATAAAATTCTTAACCAATAAATAATTTGAAATACAATTATATTACAGATTTAGAGACTATGAGAGAAGTGAAAGAAAGAGATTGAAGTCAGTTATAACTTAAACTTAAAATTCTTATTCATTTTTGGCTTTCATTCGCATTCAAAGAAACAATTTTGATAATCTTTGCCAAAGAGTGCGACTATTTTACAGCTATTCATTGCTTTCCCATTCAGCATATGATATACTCGTATACTATTCTACACAATGAGAATTACAAGCGAGTTGTAAAATAAGACTCAATTTTATCAAATACTCAAAACAGACAAACAGAATACAAACAGAATGGATAACTATTTGAAGAATGCGTTTAAATGAAAAAATCATTTAAAAGATTACAAAACAAAAAGAAATTAATATTAAGTGCCTTTGGATTGAATGCGCGGCGCAATCCATCTCTTGGTTTCTGCCATCAGTTATACACTAATACTGTAACCAGTCTTCAAAGCATCGCTTTTCTAAACACTAATTCTTAGATCATTTAGTTTTCATACATATACTCTATATCTATATAAAATTACCATCATATATGCATTTATATGTATTATATAGTAAATAATTAGTTAGTGTTCATATTTTCATAACATTTAATTCATTGCAACAAAATAGAAGAGCAATTGTTAAACAAAGCACTCAATTCTCATACCTATTGTGTTATCTTCCGATTGAGTAATCATTTAAGTCATCGTTAAAATTAACAGAAAGTTTTGTTTGACTTGTATTGCAATCCAATAGTAGTGTGATTTCACAATTCAAATGATAACATCAAATGGTATAGCAATTGATTAAATCGATTCATTATAAGAATCGGTGTTTTATTTGATTTGTATGAATAAACTGTTGATTAGACATAAGTTTGTTGTTTTCCGACACCATTCTTATGGCATTCTTGTCCATATACGACATCTACTCCTTCTGTACACCAATCGCACCGACTCTATCACTCCATACATACTTTTAGTCACAATTCTTAGTACGCATTCTCTCGCAAGACATCAACTTTTTTTCAGAGCACTTACCGATAAATTTATACGTTTTATAGAGAATATATTTTTAGAAAATATTATCACTTTTTATTTCGCATTCACTCTTACGTACACTAATTCTCGGCATTTATGCCAACAAATTTTAAAAACAATGCTTTTTATTCCTCGTCCCCCTCTTCACAGCACTTCTTATACTGTATTGCAATTCTTTAACACATTTAATGTATAAAATATCAGTTCATTTCAAACAATGGCAACAAATTACACACATTCCTCTCAAATATGCTAAAAGCAGATAATTATATATTTAGGTATTAATGAACCAAACATTCACTTTTAAATAAATATTCATTTTAAATAATTAAAAACTTGTTTTTAAATTATCCGTATTTACGACTATAAACACTATTTAAATGAGACGAAAAGGAAACAAATGAATTAATTATATAAATACTAAATAATAGATATTCCGTATTTTAATTATATATTACGGTATATATTGGTAATATTTCCTCAAATAATATTTAAATTGACATTTAGTATTCAAATTATTTTAAATGTTTTTATAGTACTGTATTTAATTTATTTATAAACTGGAAATTGAGTTATATTTTCACCATTTTAAATTAAAACCACATACAATTAGTCATACATTGAGAACAAATATCAACAAAATATAAGAAAATACACAACAAATCATATAAATATGAAATCATTTATATAAAACAAATTTATTTTTAAAAATGTAAAGTAATATAATGTATAAAAAGTTTACATAAAAAAATTCCCAAAACCTGTGAAACGGTAATTGACTAAAAACCTATAGAATGGATACTTGCGGTCACTTTGTCTTTTGACAGGCAGTGACGGAAGTGTTGCCGAGAATTTTCTTCCTCTGAGCGATCATATAGAAGTATAATTGAGGGAAAACTGCAATCAAATCAATCATTCAATTAGTTATTTAGCAATTAATGTAATGCATTGGTTGGCACTCACAAGGAATGTACGACAGTATGACTATTGCCAGCAAATAGTGATAATAAAAGGAAATGTTTGCAAAATTAGGCAAAGATATTGCAAAGAGATTGCGGTCTCGGATGTAGGGAATGGCCGATACAATGGTTAGCAGTTCACCGGACACTCCGATCGGGTAAAGCACTATAAAGAGGGTATAGCGGAGCCACGTTAGCGCATACGGCACCACATCGTAGATATTGAGCGCATAATACAGATAACGTGTCATCTCTGCGATAGACCACGCAATCAAAAGCATCGGCACTCCCAACGAATGTCGCGCCTCAACCACCGGCAACAACACACCCCAAACCACTATCAGTCGCGACAACACTTGGATCAGTGTCTGGAAGGCATTGGACGGCACCAGACGTATCAAACAGTGCACCACTTCTATGAGCTGAAGCGTCTGGAAGATAGACACCGATGTCCGCACCCATTCGTATACACCCGTGAAGTTGCCCTTCGCTGCCACTCCCGACACCACCACTACCAGTCCGTACGACCATCTGATCCATACAGTCATCAATCAATCATTATATCAATCAAATTGTTATCAACAGTAAAACCAGTCATATATTACCCAAAAAATTGGATTAAATTATAACAAAATAGATATAATTTAGCGGTTTGTGAGTCCTTTAAAGCCATTTGCGATGAGATCTCAATGTAATTGACATTCACTTCAATGCAAACATTCAAACACCAAATGTCTTGAAACTAACTTTTGGACCAAAACTAACAATAATTCAATTGTTTTATACTTTTCTAACACTTTATAGTAATTAAAGGTTTGATAAAACACTTGACGTCAAATGTGACCCTCGATTGTCCATTAATAACGTCACACATCTTTCACAAACTGGTCTGTTTTGACTACGGTTGAAAGTTCCTACTAGTAATTATTCCTATTGTAACGATTACTAGAAATATTCCCTGGGAATATATATTTCATTCCCTTTTGGGAATCTGTGAATTGGGAGATCGGGGGTGAATTGGGGGAGGGGTAGGGCAGCTACCAAGTACTGACACAATACTACTTACCCATCTGATGTGTGAGCTTTTTGGGTGGTAACGTTCCGGAAATATTCCCACGAGAAAATATATATTAAATTCCAGGAATTTTTTCAACCTTAGTTTTGACTAGTGTTCTTCGATCCATCTGGCGGAGCAAAATATGACTAAAATTGCCGCCATATGACCGCCATATGGCCGCCATATGGCTTTGTTTACATCACGTGGTATAGTGAATCACACAAGTAACGTAATTATATTGTCATATTAACCATTAATTATATAACGACGTAAGTTATGTTTTAGTTTATGTGACTTTGTGACATCTATTGGCAGCCAATAGAAACATTGTTTGTAATGTTAACAAACGACAATTAATCATAACTCCATTAAAAGCCATAATTCATTACAAAATCAATTCAAA